TTGCTGATCCTCAAGGGCTTTGGTGAGTCCTTAGTTATCTCTTATTATTTTCCATAATCTTTTCCAACACAATTTTCATCTTCTCTACTTAGATTCAAACTTAGCATTCCTTAACCCACAAACATATCCAAACTCTCAAATATTCTCCTAAATACCCCACACATTTCTCATAGCCTTCAAAGGTCTCAACTCTCTAAGAACTCTAATATACCATAGCCAAACTTCCAATGTGGAGAGATAATTTTCTGCCATGAGCAATTCAAGTTAAAAGTTTAGTAGCTTCTCAAACACTGATCCAAAATCCATAAAAACATTACCATTAGTTCCCTAACATCCTAAATCTTTGATATGGAGTTTCTCATTATTTTTCTCCAAGGAAAATTCATCTTTTTGGAGCTTAGAAGTTTCAGACTCAAATCTGTTCAAAAACCTACATTCTAGCTTCACCACAATAATTTCATCACCATCCTAAGAGAACACCAATCAAGTTGCTGCCTTCACCATAAAGATGCCTTTGATAATACATCAATAAGTTGTGTTTTCAGTGCCTTAAATAAATTTTCTCACATATGGATTTTAGATTTAGGTTCTACTTATCATATGACTAATATTGCCAATCTTTTTCAAACTTACAAATCCCATCTCAACAATAGAAAAATAAAAGTGATCAATGATTGTCTACCAGTTGTTTTAAGTTAGAGAAATATTTCAATTTCATCCACATTTATCCTAAGTAATGTGTTGCATGTTCGTAATATTATAGTAAATCTTTTATCAATTCAAAAAATCACTAAAGACTATGATTGCAAGGTAACTTTTCTTTGCTAATTATTATGTATTTCAGGATCTCACTATGGAAAAGATGATTTGGTAAGTTAAAGAAAATGGTAGACTATATCTTCTTGAAGATAAAAATTATTTGCCATGTTTCTTCTTTTTCACTCTCAATAGAGAAGATATTTGGAAACAACATTCTAGGCTGAGGCCTCTCTTTTTTTAAACCCTACAATGTAATTTTATTTTATTTTTATTGTAAACATGAAAAATTTTCATCGAGGCTTGTGAAATTATCAAGCATGATTATGCTAATTTTTTTTAAAGTGATTTTGGATCCTTTACTCTTTTTCTAATTATTCACTCAAACATTTGGAAACCTTCCAAAATATTTGACATTTATGGAATTTCAGGATTTATGACCTTCATTTATGATTGCACTTAGATGACACGAGCATATTTTATCAAATAAAGATCTAATAATATTATTTTTTTCATTTCTAATGCCATAATTAAAAAATAATTCAATGCTATAGTAATGTATTTTGGACTGATAATGCCAGTGATTATATTAGTAACACATTATCATATTTCTTCCATAAAAAAGGTATATCATTCACCAAACCTAACTGCCACATACCTAATCAATATAATATTCTTGAGAAGCAATCTTAACCATCACATATCTAATCAATAAAATATTCTCAATGGTGACTGGCTTTAGAAATCTTATAAATTATTTAGCTGAATTCTTCAACACAAATAACACTAAATTTTTTTTCCAAAAACCTTTGGGCGTATTGCTTGTGTCTATATCCATAACAACACAAGGGTAAATTTGATTCTAGAGCTCTCAAATATGTTTTTACTAGATGTTCCTCTACTCAAAAGGGTATAGGTGTTACGAGCTTACCTCCAAAAATTCCATACTTTAAAATTTCCACCTTTGATGAGAAGCTAAGTTTTTTCAGTCAAACTCATATTCTAGTTGAGAGATCCTCTCTAAAGATGGAACTTCAAATTTTCATCTTGATATTCCTATAACACAACTCCAAAAAATTAAAACCCTAGTACCCCTACAAGCCTATACAAAATGGAATAAGCCCAGTTAAAATCTCCTGCAAGCTTATACAATTCCTATATACTAACCCCATTAATATACATTTCCTATATGTCCCATCTCACATTACACGTTTGAATTTTTTTTCTCATACCCATAAAGCTTTACTTATAAATATCTGCTCTAATTCCATTATAGTACTACAATTGTTATTTGCATCATTTAAAACTAAAAATTGGAAGTATGACATGTGGGAAGAGATGAATGCTTTGAAAAAAATCATATTTGGAAGGTTTTTGAACTACAAAATTTAAGAAAAATGATTATACGTAATTTTTTAAATAAATTATAAAATAGATGAAAGTCTGGAATGATATAAAGCTAGATTGATAGCCAAAGGATATATTTAATCTTATAGAATTGATTACCAATAAACTTTGGCTACTGCTGTGAAAATGAATACAATACGCATATTAATTTCTTTTGCCATCTTGTGGATGATTCATGTAGCAGTATATTGTAAAGAATAATTTTCTATATAAGATTATTAAAAAAGTTTATATGGATCAACCATCTGGATTTGATTGTTCTTTCATAAAGAATAAAATGTGCATATTAAAAATGCTCTATGTGGCTTTAAACAATCTCTAAGAGCATTGTTTGGGCAATGCACAAAAGTCATGAATGAAACTGAATACAAACAATGCCAATGAGATCATGCCCTCTTTGAAAAATACTCCACTGATGGTAAAATTTCAATTCTTTGGTGATGATGATAGGGAAAATGAGTTTTTGAGGGAAAATTTGCTGGAAATTTTAAGATTAAAGAGTTGAGTAAATTCAAATAATTTTTGGGAATATAAATTGTTTAATTATTATAAAAATAGTCCTCTCTCAACAACAAAATAGGTTATGGATCCATTGAAAGAAATAAAAATGATTGATTGCAAATCTTGTGAAACTTCAATTAAACCATGCTAAAAATTGGATGTAAATGAAGAAGAAAAAAATTAGATATGAGAAAACATCAATGATTTGTCGGAAAAATGATCTATCGATCTCACACTCGTCTATGCATCACATTTGCGACGAGTTTCATTAGTCAATTCATGTACAAACCCAAAGAATCTCACTTTCAAGCTATTTATATAAGCTTCAAATATTTTAAATCAAATCTTGATATATAAATTCTCTAGAAAAAATAGAATAATTTATAAATTGAAGGGTATACTAATGCTGTCTATATATGATCACCAATGGGTAGATGATCCACAACTAGATACTGTTTTTTTGGGAGGAAATTTCATCATATGGAGAAGTAAGAAATACCATGTTTTTTCAAGATCTAGTGTTGAATTTAAATTTAGAACAATGAGCTTCTGTGGATTAAAATTATTTTAGAATTTAAAAAATGGAAATATATTGTAATAATAAATCTATCATCAATATTGCTCATAAGGTGTGTGTGCGCGCATAACTCTGTTTCCCTGTTTATCCTTCGTTTAATTTTTGGTGTTTGAAGGGCCTGTTGCTATCTGAGCTTGTCTATCATTCTTAATTGTGAAAGTTGCACCGGGTTATTGTTGTTTGCTTGGAATGCAGCAGATTGGGTAAGTTTGCTGGACTAAACAGGATGGCAGGATCAGGAGGGATGGCCATAGTCAGTGGTTATCAAAAGAATAATAAGAATAAAATGATTCTTATTTATAATTTTTAAATCTAACCTTCTTCCACTGTGCATGTTACGAAAATGTGATGGCTTGAACACTATCGAGTGATTTATTAGTCAGATCTTGATGTAGATGAATATATTCAATTGTATTTTCTTGAGATAAAACATTGTGACCCTTTCATCCTACTTATGCATACGACATACATCCAGATGGTTTCCTGTGTTGTTTTCTTCTTATAAAGAGACGGAGTTAAAGAAATTGATTAAATCTGCATTCTGTTGTTAAATTGTGGTATACCATCCACATTCTATGAAGGCAATTTGATGTATGCAAAGAGAAGGGGGGGGGGGGGGGGGGGAGGGAGTGTCAAAACATCTTGGGTTGTAACTTTTGTGAGCTTCAATTTCCTCTACTAAAAGGCAGCTCATTAATGAGCTTCTTCTACTTATTTAGCTCATAACTTGTCATTATTTGGTTCATTCCCCCTTGCCTTTGACTCTTTGGTTTCCCCCTCCTTGGCTCTTCTCCCCTTAGTTGCCTATTCCTTTCCCCTTCCCTTGGTCTCTTCGGTTTTCCCTCATGGTTCGGCTCCCCTGGCTGCTGGTTCCAGTTCTTGTGCTGCCTTTTTGGTTTCTTCCCTGGCTGCTTTCCCATGGCTGCTTGACCCGGTTTCTGTGTTGCTTTTTGGCTGCTGCTTTTTGTGTGGCTGTTTGGGTGCTAATATGGACTGACTTTTAGCCTTCCATTTGCTTGAATTTAATGGATTTAATGGGGGATATATTTGGACTGTTTGGCTGCTAGCTTTTCTCCTATAAATATAAGGTGTTTGGGCAAAGAAAAAAGGAAGTTAGGATGGAATTTTTGGATCGAAAAATCTGAGGGTTTTTCTTCTTTCTTTGGAAAAGCTTGCAAGCTTGTTCCGTGCTTCTCTTCTCCTCTAGGAAAGCTTGCGAGCTTGTCCTCCCTTCGTCTCGGACTTCTTATCTAATTCTTTTCCCTGCAAGTGTCCACCCCATGTATATCTTTCGTCTCAAACAAATAAGAGCTCCTTTAGGTGTTGTTTATGTTTGTGTTTGTAAGCGTCAAAAGTTGTGTCTTTTCATGATATCAAAGGTGTATTTTGAGTATTTCGTGTTATTTCTTATTATCCTAAGAATAGTTACTATTGCTAGCAAAAATTTGGGTCTTTTCCAAATTTTTGCTTGCATCACAATCTGAGACGTTTGGAGGGAGGGTCACATCATTTCCTTTTGCCTCTTCATTACACATTCTAGTAAAGGAGATTTCTTTTTACCATATAATTCCGGAAGACTAAAATGATTGCTACGTATTTCTGCATGAGCAAGGAAATTAACGGTTATTGGGGAAATCTTAAAGGTTGGAGTCTAGCAACTGTTGTTAATGAACTTTTTTCTTGTTACTCCAAGCTTGCTTTGTTAAACAATTCTTATGGATATCTTTCTCTTCTTTACCTTCGATCATTTATCCCACAGAACTGCTTTCTTATGTCAGAAAGGAAGTTGAAAATGGAAGGCTTTCATCAGATATAGCTCATGGATTGGAGGAACTCTATCATAGTTACCGAAATGCGGTATAAAATTTCAAGTGCTACTACTGTACATTTTGATTATGATTAGTTCAGTTTTATGAATTTTTCCAATGGTAATATAGTATCATGAACTTTTTTTTTTATTGTAGTTTCTGTTTATCATACACTGGTTGGCTTTCATTTTTTCATTTCCCCCGTGTTTGTTAAAAGATATATTGGCTTTGCTGGATTCAAAGGCTCGCCAAGTGTTCAAGGCTTTATTCTTAATTAGTTGTTTTTGTTTGATTATCCTAAATGATTTAACAGCTTGATTTTACTTTAAGTATGGTGGTGAATGTTGTAGCATACAATTTTCATCATTAACATATTACCAACTTCTTAAGCTTAGCTTTATGAAGTCATTCTTGCTATTTGTTCCTTTTTGAGTTTGCTGAGGTTTCAGCTCTCGTTTACACGTGTCTCCTTGCACATTTCTTGCCATGTTACCACTGTTCCTTCTTTTACTACCGGCATATCTCCTGGCTTTGTTGGTGAATCTTCTACTTTTTATTGTAAATGCCCAAATTTCCCAAAGCTTCTAAATCTCTTTTCTACAACCTTAGTTTTTTGTAAGCGCCACTTCTATATCATCTGAGATATAATTATTTTTCTCTTTACCCTTTTTTTGTTTTTCCACACAGCCATCTTATTGTTTTTAAACACAGCTAAATCTCGAAATTCAATGATTAAATCTTGCAAAATATGGTAAAGTTCTTGTTTCTCATTTACAGCAACAGCAGCTGAGTGCATTTTGCTTATGTCCTATTAAATTATGAATCTTAATTCATGCTTTCATATAATATATTACATCATATCTTCTGCCTAAACTCTAGTTTATGGCTTTACTTTTCTGTAGCTTGGTATGCTGGCCAACTAAATTGGTATATGATTGTCTTTTTAAAATTTAGTTTATACTAAAATGGAAATCTAGTCCCTATTTTGAAGGCCTTTTTGCTTTTGTAGAATTTGCCTATGAGACATGTGATCCATCTTGTTCCTTATCCTAATATTAAATTTGAAGCTTCATTTAAACATTTTCTATGCTCCACGTATTTGTCATTTGTCAAGCATTAGATTATTTGATTCTTCTGTAAATTTGTTTTGCCTATTATGTACCTACTTCAATGATTCTCATTATGCTTGTATTTCTCCCATATGATGGGATACATATAATATTTTGCATAATTGTAGGTTGTGCAAAGTGGACTTCCAGATGCAGATGAAATCATACATTCCAATATGACAGTTGCATTTGATCGAATTCTCATGGACATAGAGGTCCTCGAGTTTTTCCAGTTTTTTGCTTGTTCAATGATTGTAATTCTAATTCGATCACAAGTTTTACTTCTTCTGGTATTGCGTGATTATTGTGGTCCTGATTTATGCTGCAGAACCCTTTCATTTTTGGAGCTCATCACAAAGCTATACGAGAGCCTTTTGACTATTACATGTTCGGTCAAAATTATATTCGCCCTTTGTTGGATTTCAAGTAAGAAAGGTTTCTTATTTTCTTTTGTCTGTATAATTCATCACAAGCTATGTGGAAATTCATCATATACTAATGATAATTCTTTAGTAAATATATTTCATTATTTAATTTACTGGCATTCTTCACTGCCTTTGGTATATTTCAAGTTTATCTGTATTAATTCATCACCAGCTATTATACGGGGAAATGCATCATATATCTAAATATTTTTCAATTACTATATTTTGTTACGTAATTTACTAACATTCTTCCCTGCCCTTTGTGCTTAAAATAGATGTGGAATTCTTTACCCAGACAGATGGAAACTAAGATATGTCAAATACCTTTAGAACTCCTGGTATAATAGAGTGAAATGAAACAATTTAATTATAATATCTTTAATTATAATTTTTGCATCTCAGTTTGTTTAAAATCGCATCAATCAATTGAGCATGTTTAACATATTGCAAAGAAGGCATAATTATTATGCTTTGTTATATTTCGTGTGTCCCGTTTTAATATGATGTCACATGCCTGCACATCTTATCAACTAATGTCAAGCTAAATAATGGCATGGGTGAAACTTGATAATCATAATTTGACTGACAATTATACTAAAAAAGCTTTCCATTTGTCCAAAATTTGAGTGACTGAGGTGTTGAATAATCTCTCTCTCTCTCTCTCTCTCTCTCTCTCTCTATATATATATATATTGAAGAGTTTCTTAATTGATTATTCTTCTCCTTAACAAAAAACAATACTATATCTACATGTGTATACTAAAAATCCTTTAATAAAGGAAATAACTAAGTAGCTTAATTCTTTTCTAAAATTTAGGAAATAGAATTTTAGGAGAAGAAATCTTTTCTAAAAATTAGGAAACAAAATTATAGGAGAAGATCACAATTGATCTCTCATTTTATTCATAAAAATACATTCCTAAAATAAAAACAGAATCATAGGAGAAGATCACAATCGATCTCTCCTTTTATTCCTAAAATAAATTCCCTAACTTTGACTTTCAAATATTCAACACTCTCCCTCAAGCTGGAGAATATATCATATAATCTAAGCTTGCAAATTAAGTCTTTAAAGTTAGGTTTAGGTAGAATTTTGGCGAGGATGTCTGTAGTTTGTTGCTTGATAAAGATGTATTTCAAATTAACACTCTCACTAGTCACCTTCTCAGTAATGAAGTGTTTGTTAATTTCAAAGTGCTAACTCCTGTCATGATGCACGAGATTCTTAGCTATGCTGATAGCTGCCTGCTTATCACACATCATCAGAAATAGGAGATGAACTCATTGTCCCAGTTCACTAAGAACCCTTTATATCCAAATCTGATGAGGACATCGAAGATCAACGGCTACGATCGTGTCTATTTATTTTTATGTATTTTATTTGTTATTTGTACTTTTCCCTTCTACCCTCACTTAAGAGCTTTGTCTTATGTTTGCCCTAGGGGCAATTGTGTCTTTTTTATTTTCCTTCATATATTTGGCTATTTAAGCCCTCCCCTTCCAATTGGAAAGGGATGATGATTATTGCTAATGAAAATTTTGGTTTTGGATCTCTTTGTGAGTTATAGAGTTCTCTTTGTGAGTTCTCAAGTGAGGAAAGCCTAGGAGAGGCTCAAAGTAATACCCAACAGCCCCTTGGTGGAGCTCTTGGTTTTCTACTCAATATCTTTTCTTCTTCTCTCCATTTCCCTAGTTCTCTTCGTGAGTTCTTGAGGGGAATTTCGTGGATCTCTGTGTGAGTTCCGACATTTTTACAATCTCCCTTTGAGATCTCGAAGAGGTGCGTGAGGTTAGAAAATTCAGAATTTTCTCCACAATTTTCATCATGCTTCCAGGCTCTGGAATCCCCCCCCCCCCAACCTCTGTTTCCAGGCGCTGGAATCCCCTCCCCACTTCCTCCTTGCCGCCGGCTCTGTTGGTCCGGCCAGAAAATTGGCCGTCGGTCAATTGCTCCCTCCCGTTATTAATCCCTCAGCCGACCCTCACTCCCCTCCCCCAGCAACCAGCCGTGGCCCCTAGCCTGCCGCCCAGCACCCACCTTGCCGCCGGCTCCCCTCCTTGGACCCAAGTCTGTTAGAATTTCAAATCCATATTTAATTAAATTTCCTAATTTGTCTTCATCTATTTATGATAGACATTTAAGGGGATTAATGCTCCTTTTGAAATTCAAATTCTATTTCCTCTTAATAAATCAATTTTGAGAGTTACTTAAGAAATAATCAAATCTGAAATTATAATTTCAGATTTGATTGGGAATTAATTATTCAAATGTGGGCCCCACCTTTTAAATTCCAAACCTCTCTCTCCTTGCTCTATGGCCGGCCACCATTACCCATTAAGTCTCTCTTCAATTACATTAATTGCCTCCCATCAACTAATCCCTCACTAAACCGCCACCCCCCTTTCCTTTGGAAATTAATTTGATTTTCAAATTAGTTTCCCCTCTCCACGTCTCCTCACTAGAGCTCAATTTTAGAAATCTGAAATTGTTTTTCTCCTGAAGCTTTTCTCTCCTACCCGAGCTCCCTTCCCGACTTGATTTGTTTTCTCCAACTAAGTCCCTCTTCCAACGTCAACAAGCTGACATTGTTTCAGATTTGAAATCAATCCCCCTTCTTCCTCCACGGGTTACTCTTCCAAACCCTTCCCATGACTGTTGAAAATAGAGCCTCTGCAGGAGTTATGTTGCTGTCCAGAAGAATCCTAAAAGCTGTTACAGATTTTCTGGCATTTCCACCTGCTGTCCACTGCTTGGGAAAGTTCCAGATTGATGTCCTCTATTCAAGAGTGCCCAAATCAGCAACAAAGTTATCCCGGTAGACCACGTGGCTGCTGTCTTGAATTTTTGCACCTCTTCCCGGGTGTTCCTTAGTGCGAGGAGGTTCGTGGTTGCTGCCCACTTCATTCCCAACTACCAAACAGCTTTGCCGGAGCGCGTATCTATCTTGTCTTTGGGTAAATTCGACACCCGACTCTCTATCTTCATAGTTGCATCATTGAATGTGAATTTATTATCTTCATGAAGGTTGTATTAATGCTTCTCCGCTAAAGCCTAGTAATTAGAAGAGTTGTGTGATGGTCATTTCATAGACTAATCTTATTATTAGTATTGGAATCTATTGTTGGAACTATCCATGTATGCAATGTTGGATTAAGCTGGCTATCTTTGAACTTAACTTCTATGCATGTGGGATAAACTAAGCTAGGTACCACTTTAATATTTAACTTATCATTCAATTCTGCATAAGATCTTGCTTACTATTGCCTCTAATTCTAAAACGTGCAAACTTCATTAAGCAAATCACTTTCGCATGGATTGTTTCACATCAAAATCCCTTGACAAATTCTTTTTGTCAGTGCTTTGTACTTGGCTTTTGCACTACTTCTGGTTACCACTGATTGCTTCTTACTCCTATAGACAACAAGATTATCCAGACAAAAAATTAGTACTCAGAAGTTGACCGTCTGTCAATGATGTTTTCTGCCCAATATGCATCTGAATACACTTCAGTGTCATGATTTATTGTCTTTACGAAGATAGGCCTCTCCTTGCTATCATCTTTAAGTATCTAAGAATCCTCTAGAATGCTTCCTTGTGTTCCTCTGTAGGATTGTGCATGAATTGACTTACAATACACTTTAAAATCAATATATGGCTAAGTGCGTGAAAGATTGATAAGACATCCAATAAGTCTTTAGCCAATTTAATTCCAAAGAAATATTTAAGATTTTCAAGGTCATTTACATCAAACTCTTCTGACAAATACTTCTTCAAATTCTATAATTCTTCCCCATCATTTCCAGATAGAGTAATCTTATTGACATAGACTATCAATATAGCAATTTTCATAGTGTGAGATTTCTTTACGAACACTATATGATCAGCTTGACCCTATATGTAGCCTAGGTTAAAAATAACCTTTATGAATTTATCAAACCAGGCTTGGGGAGATTGTTTAAGGCCGTACAAGGAAATTTTTAGTTTGCAAACCTGATTCTTTGCTATTCTTTTTTTCAAAACCAGGTGGGATTTTCATGTAGATTTCCTTTTCGAGGTCACCATTTAGAAAGATATTTTTATGTCTAGTTGTTGCAAGTACCAATCCTAGTTGGCAACTGAGAGAAGAATTATGATAGTGTTAAGTTTTGCTATAGGAGCAAAAGGTTCTTGATAGTTTATCCCATAGGAGTGTGTAAATCTTTTAGCTACCAACCGAGCAAAAATTTCTTGATAGTCTATCCCAATGGCTTCCCCCAAGAAATAATTCAGAACATTAGAGGAAATTATACGACACTGAGCAACCTCCAAGAGATGTCGATTCTTGCATTCTATCACCCCATTTTGTTGAGGGTGTCAACACAAGAACTTATGTGGATAATCTCATGATGTGAAGGCAGGTATTGAGAATACTAGTGAAGTATTCCCTAGAATTATCTGACTTGAGTATGTGGATCCTAGAGTTGAATTGATTTTGAAACATAAGGTTGAAGGGTTGAAAAATTTGTCCGGCCTCATACTTTTATTTCATAAGAAAAACCCAAGTTAACCTTGTATGATTATCAACAAATGTCACAAATCATCTAGTGCACAAAATATTTTTTTTATTTTTGATGGTCCCAACAACTCACTATGGTTTAAAGAAAAGGCAGTTGAAGGTTTGCATGAAATTTGAGGATATATAGTTTGAGTATGTGAGTATGCTTTGCAATTTGACAAGTTTCATAATGAAAAGATGTAGGCCTTTTATTGATAAATAATTTTGCAAGATACGCAAAGCTAGGATGACCTGAACAATAGTGTAACAATATAATTTCACTATTGTTATTGATATTGGAATTTGACACATAATTGAAAGATTCTAATAAACTTTGAGCATGGACATAACTTGCTTGATAAACTTGGTTTGAGGATTGATCACATGGGAGGAGATAGAGCCCAGAGCATAGTTTAGCACTGCCAATCATCTTCCCTGATTTTAAGCCCTAAAAACACACAAGTTT